TGAATATTGTACTCAACATTAATTAGCTAAACTTACCCTTTTTATTATGGAAAAAGGGAAGCAACTTTCTTTATACTTATTGTTGAAATTTGTATATCATTGTTAATACAATATTTTATTAATGTTCACTGAGCTTGATTATTTTTTTCTCGTGTTTGTTGTGCATTATTCATGTGGAGTGTTGTTTTACAAGAACACAGCCTTCCTTCTTGATTATATTCACGGTGACCCTAGCCAACAACTCTTACAGCACCACTACAAGCTCTTGAATAGAAATAGCATTCTTCTTGTAGAGAAAAAAGATGCAAGAATGTTCATTATGGTTGCAAAGATCAACTACTAATCAATAAGTTGTTACTGGAAAAATATATTCCAAGAATTAGAAAACTAAACACTCCAAAGATATAAAAAGCAATTATATTATAGACTAAAGAAAACATTTATAACATAGACTATAAAAAAGCTTTATATACAACTTGAACTCTCATATAAGAATTATACACATGAATGCTGCTTGACAGGACAGATGCATGTGAAGTTTGCCTAACCAATAAAAAACAAACACACAAATTAAAAATAGCAGAATTTTCATTAACAGATGGTAAATAGATGTACACACACACACACACACACACACACACACATAGTTTATCATCCAAACCCCACATAAACAAACTTGAATTATGTTACGCATACACACATGAATTATACACATGAACGTTGCTTGACAAGACAGATGCATGTGAGGTCTGTTTAACCAGTGAGAAACAAACACAAAAATTGAAAATTGCAGAATTTTCTCCTCCATATTTCATTCTCTGATGAAGCTTTAATAAAAGAGAAACATGTTAGTTTTATAAACATTTCTGAATATTTTCTTATCCTATCATGTCAGATTCCAATCTATATTTGATACCAATTCATTCATATATATATATATATATATATATATATATATATATATATATATATAAGCAAGTGTAAATGGATATAAATCCGACAGAATGAAGAAATTTTGAAAAAACAAACAAAAATCCTTAAATGTAGTTAAAATGAAAGAAAATGAAAGAAATTTCATTTCAAAATAATCACAAACTTTTAGGAATACGTTATGAAAGCGTCGCCCATGTGACGACGGCGTGACCATGTTAGACGGAAGGCTGATCATTTTAAAAATTTTCAGTTATCTGTTCTGAATAAGACTTGTGTTTTTATGTCCATCGTATTTGTCATATTGAACTGAATTGTATTTTGATGAATATTGTCTTGAAAAAGGTTTATTAAACCGAAACGTCAGACGTCGACATTTCTTTCATTTTAAATACATTTAAGGATTTTTGTTTGTTTTTTCAAAATTTCTTCATATATATATATATTCATTAAATTGGCAGTGTTTCACGATCATGTTTAAAGAGAGGAGAATGAAGGAATTGGACATTCAAGGAAAAATTGAGTGGGTTCAAAGTACAATAATTCAGGGGGTGAGGGATGCAAAAATACTGAAAAGAAAGTGTTGGTCCCTGGGTGGAGAAACTAAAGCCTAACACACTGTGTATGGATCCCTTCATCTGCCCAGACAACTGGGTTTCTCTATTGGTCAAATAGAAATGATCTGGGGAATGCACAGCAAGCTTGGGATCTGGAAGTGGATCAATGCCATTAGATAAACCACTTATGGATTCCATTTTGGATTCTCTGTATGGATTTGCTTTAATAACTTTTGTCATATTTGGATATGGTTATAAGATAACAGAGGTTTGATATTTATTTTCCTTCTCCTAGACTGGCTTCCAGTCAAGGCAAGTCTAATCTGCTCTGCTAATTATCTATGAAATAAGGATATGTATGCAGTATAATGGTCATCACTATGGAAAATGGAATTATCCAAATCCAAATTCTGGTCTAATCTTACATTCACATTAATAACCTTAGGAGAGGCATGAATCCATCACTTCCCTCAGCTAAGGGTGAAACAGCATGAGAGAATCGGCTCTCTAGCATTGGAGAAGGAAAATTCTGAATTCAAAAGCATGGCAAATGAAACAAGATGCCACTCTATTAGCTTTCCCAAAAAACCATATCAATTCTCAGATGATAAAGAAAAGGAACCTGTGGAGGACCATGATTGTCTATGTCTAGAAGTGAGAAAGACGGCTCTGAATTCAAAAGTGGCAATGAGGAAACACCTCCACTACCTTTCTAAAGAATTCAGAGCTGTATATAGATGATACAGGAAGCTGTGGATAACAACGATTGCTTATCTCCTGAAATGAGAATGAGAGCTTTTAATTCAGAACTGTGAGTGAAAGGTACGGTGAAGTAATGGATAGCGGCTCGGATTGAGGAATTGGAGAGCCGAGTTCAAATTCCACTTAAAGCCATTACATTCATTTATATGCTAATACCCTTGGGAAAGGTATGAATCCTCTTCTTCTTCCCCCAGTTTTGGGTAAATAGCAAGACAGACCGGGTTCTGTAGCCTAGGTTGGCAACTGGTCTACCACAGAAAGAAATGACAACCTACTGCGGGAAAAAATCTGCCTCATCAGTCATGTATTGAAAGATACATGATTGCCTAAGTGTGTATCATGCATGGCACATAACTGACTGAGTAAAAGTGGATAGATGAAACTATTCTGAAGCCATCGCTGATTGTGTTAGCACAAAGTCACAAGTTATTTTGACTGAGGTTTTCAGTGTCAAAATCAGTGAAACACAAATGTAACTGAATAGGCATCTGCAACAGGCAATAGCAGAATACTCAGAAATGAGTAATCAACCATTATGTATGAATATATATATATATGCATTTATGCATACAATCATAGCAGTAGTAATATAAACTAACCTTGTATGAAATGACCTGCTGGTTGAAATACAGCTTGTATTGTCAAGACACAATCTAGAATCAAAGACATTTCTAAAAAATCATCTGTTCAATTTTTTTTTATCAGCTTATTTCTATTTTTTCTGGCCTCAGGTTTTTTTTCTTTTCTAGTAGTTTGTCTATTTGTTTTTTTTTTAAGAAAGTTTTCATTTGAATAACTATTTTCATTATGTTATATTTTGATGGAACAAATGTTTATTGCATGTTTTTAGTGAATTTCAAATACAATATCTAGGTATTTGTACATAGATTCACTGAATATTGCCGCCACATCTGTTCTGGTGTTTCATATGCATTTAGAAATTCTTGATAAAATCTGAAGAAGAATCTGCAATGTTATTGGTCCTGACCTGGCATCTCAGCTTCAGTCACTTTCTCACCACTGTAATGTAGCTTCCCTCTGCCTTTTCATGATAATCGTTTCTATGAGCTTTCCTCTTTGGTATTTACCAGGAGGTTTATACCGTGAAGCACTTCCTGCTTGATTGCGGTGACATGGCACATATTCGAAAACTATTTTACAACGCGAACAATTTGAAAGAACTTTTCGAAAAATCAAACCCCAATTTGATCTTGACATTTCTTAGGAAAGTTGGACTATATAATAAAATATAATTCCAATTTGGTGTCTGATGATGAAAAGGGAAACCTTTTGATACTTGTAGGAAAAAAGTGAGAAATTTTCAAAGAACGCACCTCTGAAAACAGTGAATTTTTAAAAACAAAAAGCAAGACAACATCATAAAAGAATGAAAGGAAAGTGAAAGTTTTTTGAAAGCATTTCAACCTTATTTAAAGAAAAAAAAAAACCAACTGTTTGACCTTAAATGATCTCTTGCTGATCGATGGGTCGTTAAGTTTTAAACAAACAAACAAACAAACTCTTTGGTATTTAAACTTCACAAATTTAAGCACAGTACTAGATTGGCAACTAGGTCTCATTATTTTACAATTGTAATAGCTAGATATAAGTTTTATGATAACAGTTTTTTCCCTTGCACTCTCGGTTGTGCAACTCACTTTTGGCTTATTGCTTTTCAGTCAAATTTGATCTTGAAAAATTTTAATGCAATGTCAATCGTTCTTTCCCAGCTTCTTAATTCCTGTTCTTTTATTGTTCTCGCTCCTTAATGGTATTTTTCTTTTTTGCATATTCTTTCACACGCAGTAACCCCATTGAGTCTTAGTGGCTTTATTGCCTTGCCTGATGTGAAATGATTTAAAAAACACAATGTTTCCTTAAAGAATAGCAGGACTTGATGAGATTGAAGTAAGAAAGACATGTGCTGCTTGGTATAAACAAGAAAGTAGGAAAGACATTGAGAAAAAAAAAAGAAGTGAACTCAATGAGTTGAGGACAAAAAGAAGGAAAGATGTAGACTCAATGAGAAGAGGAAAAAGAAAGAAATTAACTCAATGAGAAGAGAAAAAAGAAAAGTGAATTTAATGAGAAGAGGAGAAAGAAAGAAATTAACTCAATGAGAAGAAGAAAAAGGAAGAAGTTAATGAAAAGAAGAAAAGAAAGAAATTAACTCAATGAGAAGAAAAAAAGAAAATCAATGACAAGAGGAAAAAGACAGAATTTAAGAGGAGAAAGAAAGAAATTAACTCAATGACAAGAGGAAAAAGGAAGAAGTTAACTCAATGAAAAGAGGAAAAGAAGGAAATTAACTCAATGAGAAGAGAGAGAAAAGAAGTGAAATCAATAAGAAAAGGAAAAAGAAAGAAGTGAACTCAATGAAAACAAATTCACTAGAAAAAAAAAGAGGCAATGAAAGAAAAAAACAGTAAATTCACCAGGAAATTTAATTTAATCAGGTGATGATAGAGAACTGAGTGAATTATTGGATAAAAGAAAGAGAAAGAAAGAAATGAAGGAAATTCATTCAAAAAAGAAAGAGAAAGAAAGAAATTCATTCAAAAAAGAAAAAGAAAGAAAGAAAAATTCATTCAAAAAAGAAAGAGAAAGAAAGAAGGAAATTCATTCAAAAAAGAAAGAGAAAGAAGGAAATTCATTCATTCAAGAAAGAGAAAGAAGGAAATTCATTCATTCAAGAAAGAGAAAGAAGGAAATTCATTCATTAAAGAAAGAGAAAGAAAGAAGGAAATTCATTCAAAAAAGAAAGAGAAAGAAAGAAGGAAATTCATTCAAAAAAAGAAAGAGAAAGAAAGAAGGAAATTCATTCAAAAAAAGAAAGAGAAAGAAAGAAGGAAATTCATTCAAAAAAGAAAGAGTAAATAAAAGGGAGAACTGAGCAAATTTAGTGGGAGTAACAAAGAGATAATGAGATAAGTGGACTGAATTCACCAGTAAAAGACAATGAAAGAGAGAACTGAATGAATTAACCAGGAAGAGAGAGAGAGAGAGAGAGAACTGAATGAATTAACCAGGAGAGAAGAGAGAGAGAGAGAGAGACTGAATGAATTAACCAGGGAGAGAGAGAGAACTGAATGAATTAACCAGGAAGAGAGAGAGAGAGAGAGAACTGAATGAATTAACCAGGAAGAGAGAGAGAGAGAGAGAGAACTGAATGAATTAACCAGGGAGAGAGAGAGAGAGAACTGAATGAATTAACCAGGAAGAGAGAGAGAGAGAGAGAACTGAATGAATTAACCAGGAAGAGAGAGAGAGAGAGAACTGAATGAATTAACCAGGAAGAGAGAGAAAGAATTAACCAGAGAGAGAGAGAGAACTGAATGAATTAACCAGAAGAGAGAGAGAGAGAGAGAACTGAATGAATTAACCAGGAGAGAGAGAGAGAGAACTGAATGAATTAACCAGGAGAGAAGAGAGAGAGAGAGAGAGAGAGAGAACTGAATGAATTAACCAGGGAGAGAGAGAGAGAGAACTGAATGAATTAACCAGGAAGAGAGAGAGAGAGAGAGAACTGAATGAATTAACCAGGGAGAGAGAGAGAGAGAACTGAATGAATTAACCAGGAAGAGAGAGAGAGAGAGAACTGAATGAATTAACCAGGAAGAGGAGAGAGAGAGAACTGAATGAATTAACCAGGAAGAGAGAGAGAGAGAACTGAATGAATTAACCAGGAAGAGAGAGAGAGAGAACTGAATGAATTAACCAGGGAGAGAGAGAGAGAGAACTGAATGAATGAATTAAGAGAGAGAGAGAGAGAGAGAGAGAACTGAATGAATTAACCAGGAAGAGAGAGAGAGAGAGAGAACTGAATGAATTAACCAGGAAGAGAGAGAGAGAGAGAGAGAACTGAATGAATGAATTAGGAAGAGAGAGAGAGAGAGAACTGAATGAATTAACCAGGAAGAGAGAGAGAGAGAGAGAGAACTGAATGAATTAACCAGGGAGAGAGAGAGAGAACTGAATGAATTAACCAGGGAGAGAGAGAGAGAACTGAATGAATTAACCAGGAAGAGAGAAGAGAACCAGGAGAGAGAGAGAGAGAGAACTGAATGAATTAACCAGGGAGAGAGAGAAGAATGAATTAAGAGAGAGAACTGAATGAATTAACCAGGAAGAGAGAGAGAGAGAGAGAGAGAGAGAGAGAGAGAGAGGAAATGGAAGAGAAAACTGAGTGAATCTGCTGGGTAATAGATGGATACAACGATAAAAAAGAACTGAACAAATTCACCCAGAATAGAAAGAAGTAACAAGAGAGAGAAAACAAAGTCAATTTATTATGAAAAGAAAGCTAAAAGAAAGTGTTTCTCTTAAAGGCTTTACACTCAAGAATAAAACAAAGATTTTCAGAATGAGGAAAAGATGTTCAATGAACTCTTATTATTATTATTATTACTATACTGCCATTGAAGATTGAATGACAGAGGGGAAGAACATAAGAAGAATTTGCTTGTTAGAAAAGAAATAAAAAGATAAAGAAGAGGAAAGAAAAACAGTCTCAATTAGGTCTACTTGACATCATCGATAAGAAGTCAAATATTTACTCCCTTGTCTACACCTCAGACCTGATTTACCGATTAAGTTAGCTATGCTGAAGACACTATCGGTTCTCACCTGGGAATATAGTACAGATTTTCTTTATTCTCTGAAGTTCTCTTGCCTCAACACTGCTTACGAAATATTTAAGTTGGAATCGGAATTAGAAGAAATTTTCTGTTTATCACTGAGCATAAACATTCGGTAAATGTTCCTTAGTTCCACCAGTTTGAACCTTTACAGCTACATGCACAAGATCAAATCCTTCTCATTCTGTTTGTATTCCATTAAAAAGAAGAAAGTTCTACTCAGACAGTTTCTTCCCAAGCACCTCAAATTTGCGGAACAGACTCCCAAGAGTATGCTTCCCCAATCCACCATGCCATATACACAGGGGTGAACTATCCGCATTCCCTTCGTAAGTTCCAGTTTCTGCCTAACAACCGTTACTTTTGTGGAACAGACTCCCTAGTGAATGCTTTCTCAATCACTACAATCTTAACTTGTTCAAGTCTAAAAATAGAGGTTGATATACCACTTAAAAAAACAACAAACCAATCAAGTTTAGGGCCAACTGTTATCTCTCGTACATATCATCCTCCTTTATAATACAACTTCATTCAGTAACGTTCTACTTTGAGTGACTCTTGGGCTGGGTGAACAATAGTGTAAAAATGCAATTTTAAATAGCTTGTTCAAATATCATTCTGTTTTATTCAACAATCCGAATTTTGTGAGCATATTTGAGCAGCTTTGAGACATATTTGAGATAATATTTCAAAATGGACCAAATCCCAAGTCTACTATCTACTATTAAAAACAAATAGTACAACTGAGTATTATTATTAATAATGATAATAATAACAATAAATGTCCTGATGCTATGCTAGTCATGGCTCTCGGGGCTTTGTGATCATGCTATGTCTTATTTCTTCCTTTCACCTTAATCTCATTCATTCACCCTCGACCTTGAGTATGGCACTGCATTGCAATATCAATCCACTTCTATGGCAGTGATGCTGGACATTGACTCACCTATGAAAAGGAGACTTGAGCCAATGGAGACGTAACTACACAGAAGGAAGCTGTGAGAATGCCATGGATAGAAGTGTTAAGAAAAATGGAAACAAAAAAGAACACTTGTACTACAAGGAGATAGATGATATTTCTGACACATACAATGAGAAAATAAGGTTTAGAGAATTTGACACTCACAGGGCATATTGAAGGTAAGATAAGAGAGTAATCTACCAAATGAGCTTAGGTAAATGGATAGTGTAGAGTTGATCAGAATGCCTCATTATAAAAATAAATGGGACACATAAAAGGATATCAACATATTCATCCAGAAGCACTGGTTATAGATGAACAATATAAACGTGAACTATCAAATAATACTGAAGGCAATAGATGCAAAAGAAACATATTGAGGGGGAGGGCATCTAGAGTAGATCAGAAGGTCTCGTTATAAAAACAACGCGCCTAAAAGGATATCACCACATCCAACTGCAAATACCAGTTACATGAACAATATAAATGAGAACCATTGAAGCATTGAGTTAGTTATACCTTTTCTTTATTCTATTCAATGCTTACAAATAAAATATATTCATAACCCAATTGAATTTCCGTTATATACCGTAGCTGTGAACACTGATGGGCATGTTCCAATCCTCATAAGTACTTTGGACAATATCATAAGTGTGGGTAATATGCTGTCTAAGTAGTTCACCACAGTGGTTTACCTATATCACGCTACTGGCGAGTATTGTATTTTGTTGATTTTATAAAGATTACCATTTCATTTTCCAACCTCCATTTTGGTTGTTCCTCATTCAGTAAGCTTTCATAGGTTACAACATGCATACATATACACGAGGATAGACAGATAGATAGATAGAACCTGAATTGAGATAGATAGTGTTATATACTGTACATGTGAACACTAATGGGTATGTCCCAATCCTCATAAATACATTGGACACTATTTATGCTGTCTAAGTAGTCCACCACTAGTAGTGGTTTACCTACTTCATGCTGCTGACAAGTAATGTATTTTGTTGATGTTATAAAGATTACCATTTCATTTCTAACCTCCATTTTGGTTAATCCTCATTCAGTAAACCTTCCTAGGTTACAACAATTTTGTTGGTTATGTTTTACAGGTGGCAGAACAGGGACTAGGAGATATACAGTGTATCACAAAAGTGAGTACACCCCTCACATTTCTTCAAATATTTAAGTATATCTCTTCATGGGACAGCACTGAAAAAATTACCTTTTGACACAATGAAAAGTAGTCTGTCTGCAGCATATATAACAGAGTTAATTTCTTTTCCCTCAAAATAACTCAAAATATAGCCATTAAAAGCTAAATCCCTGGCAACAAAATAAACTACACCCCTAAAAAAGTGAGTAACCCCTAAGAAAACTACACCACTAAATGTCTAAATTGAGTACTGCTTTTCATTTTCCCTCCAAAATGTTATGTGTTATAGGTGCAGTGCAGCTCCTAGACTACTTTTCATGGTGTCAAAGAACTCTGAGGATCTTTTACATAAAGTTTGCCAACACCATGAAACTGAGCTGCAGCACAGTGGCTAAGATCATCCAGCATTTTAAAAGAGCAGGGTCCACTCAGGACAGGCCTCAGGTAGGTCGTCCAAAGAAGCTGAGCACATGTTGAGCGTCACATCCAAATGTTTTTTTGAAACATCGGCGTAGGAGGGCTGTTAGCATTGCTGCAGAGATTAAAAGATTGGGATTCAAGTTATGTTCATTTAGCACATTACATCAAATTGGTGGCATGGCTGTCCTGAAGTTCTCCTGAAGCCATGAAAGCCCGCAAAAAGTTTCCTGAAGACATGTCAAAGATTTGGAACCATGTCCTTTGAGACGAAATTTAAGTTTGGTTTGTTTCATGTTTATAGGTGAGGAGTACAAAGATAAGTGTGTCATGCCAGTCAAGCAAAATGTCAAGGATGATGCTGCAGGTATTGGAGAGTTACATTTCATTGAGGGAAACATGAACTTGTACTGTGAAATACTGCAGCAGAGCATGATCCCTTTTCACAGAGCAGTGTTCTAGCATGACAATGACCCCAAACACACATCCAAGACAACCACTGCTTTTGAAGAGGCTGAGAGTAAAGGTGATGGACTGGCCAAGCATTCCAGACTTGAACCCCAATAGGAACATCTTTGGGCCATCCTCAAGCAGAAGGGTGGAGGAGGTGCAGAGTCTCAACATCCGCCAGCTCCGCAACGTCATCATTGAGGAGTGGAAGAGCATTCCAGTGACTACCTGTGAAGCTCTGGTAAAATCCATGCCTAGGAGTAAAGGCAGTTTGGATAATGATGGTGGCCACACAAAAATTGACATGTTGTATGTTAATATTGACAACTTTTCCAGTCAAGGATTTCCTATTTTATTTTGAGGGAAAAATAAATTAACTCTGTTATATATTCAGGTTTCAACTGATTTTAGTGTTGTCCCAAGGAAGAAAGGTATTGAATTCTTCTTTTTTTGTCCCCCATGTAAAAGCTTTCAGTTTAGTTTTGTTTCATTTTATACACTAGTAACAGAAAATAGGAGGAACGGTGGAGTAATGGATAGCGGCTCGGATTGAGGAATCGGAGAGCCAATTTCGAATTCCAGTCAAATCCATTACATTCAGTTACATGCTGATACCCTTGGGAAAGGTATGAATTCTCTTCTTTGCCCCCCCCCCAGCTATGGGTAAATAGCAGGAAAAACAAGGTTTTATAACCTTAGATGGCAACTGGTCTACTGCAGGAAGAAATGGCAACCCACTGTGGGGAATAAATCTGCCTTGTCAGTCATATGTCAAAAGATACACGATCACCTAAGAGTGTATCATGCATGGCACATAACTGACTTTATGAGGAGGTACCATGGAGTAATGGACAGCTGTTCGGATTGGGGAATTGAAGAGCTGAGGTTCAATTCCAGTCAAACCCATTCTATTCACTCATGTGCTAATATCCTTGTGAAAAGTATGAATGTTCTTCATCATGCCACATAACTGAGTGACTGAACAGAAAATGCAAAATGTGACAAAGATATTTTCAGGTACGTAAGAATCAAAATGGATATTTATTTAATTATGAAAATGTACAGTGAATGGCTGTGTTTAAGTGTAAAATAAATGGCAGAACTGCCCAACAAACAGAATTGACAAAGTTCGTAATAAGCAATGAAAAGAACACAAAAATAATATAAAACAAGCAATAAATATATGCAAGACAAATTAACAGTAGTAAAGCAATGAGCAACAGTAATATTGCAAAAATTTAAACCAAGAATTGGGGTTGACACACAAAAGAAAATTTGGATAAACAAATGCAGTGTTCTAACTTCAAGTCAAGACAGACCAGGACTGAGTCATATGAAACTGAGAATTGGATTATTTTATTTCCTAGGAAGAAATCCCAGCATGTTTCTAAATTGGGGAGGGGAAAGTGTTTTGCAGTCATTCTCTATTAGATTCCAGCATTCCAATGTGGCATAAGGGTTAGCAAGCTTGTCTTGCTGGATCAATTTACAACTGAATAGTGAGTTTGATCCTCATTGGGTGCCCTGTACTTTCAGCCTTGTACCACACTGAAGCTATGCTTAGGAAATTACCATTCCCTATTAGATTGGAAACAACACAAAAGTATTAACAGATTGAAAATTTAAATTAGAAACAGCAAAAAAGAATGTAATGTCTACTCTCCTACATGACAGGGAAAGCTGGACAGTTTTGTCATAAATGAGAATACCTGAAGTGACCACAATATGGTTTGACCTTCCAACAAAAGCAAATTAAGCATAATGCTTTTCATGCTGGTGGCCATTTGCAATGCATAAATAGTACCTGTAAGAAAGAAATACTTATAATGCTATTACCTGATGAATATTTATGAGTTCAGTAGGTATTTAAGGATTTGCTTGAAGAGCCAGTTACTAGATTACCGCAGTTGTTAAGAAAGAATGGTGATTCTGTTCATCCGCAACTGTTTTCTGTGGTGGACTTTGTGCTTCAGAATTGGCAGCAATGTCTCCACATTGAATTTACATTTTTTTTTCTGCAGTCTTCCTGTTTCCAAGTCTCTCCTTATGTTTGCAACACTGCACAGGCACATTCGCAAGAATGGCGACAAATGCTGATAATGTAATCGATAGAATATGGGATGAATGAGAAAGTGCTGAGAATGATCAGAAACTGCTTAAATTTTAGGGACACCTAATACTGAAAGAAGGCTTCTACTTCTTTCTAGGCCGTTTCCGCTCAGGACATAGACGATCATGGTTCTCCACAACGTCCTTTCTTTTGCAGCTTTTAATAAATTTTGTCTTTTTGTTTTTTCTCCTGAACCTTGTTCTGTCATTCATTTACTCAAGCTCACTCAGTATATCATGCAGTTTTCCTCTGTCTCTCTTGCCTTAAATCTGTCCTGTGAGTATTAGATTTTCCAAGCCATCCTTCTTCACTGTGTGCCCTAGAAACCTCAAGTGTTTCTTCCTGATGTTAAGTATAAGTTTCCTTTTTGTTTCCATTTTCTCTAAAACTTTGTTGTTGCTCACATATTTGGTCCATTTTATGGAAGGCAAGAGATGCACCAAAACACAGCAAATAACCTACTTGAAAAGTTAGAGCAAATGGATAGCAGAGCAAGTACTACAAAAAGAAGAATTGTAAAGGAGAAGGAAATGCTTGAAAAGACAGTAAGTATAGTTAAATTCCCAGATCAATTCTGTGGACAAGACAGCTTGATATAAAATGACAATTGGTATAAAATCTTAGATTTTGCCGATGTGTTTCGTCTTCAAGAAAGATTGCTATAAAATTTTTTCCAGTTGTCATTTTATACTAATCTGTCTTGTCCACACAATTGATCTGGGAATTTAACTATATTGTCAACATGGAAAAAAAAAAAATCCCTTACTATAAAGGTAATTTACATTAATCAGAAAAAAAGTCTTAGAGAAAAATGTCTATCTTTTTAAATTTGGATTTTTTAATGTAACTATAACAACAAAAACATTTCAATTTCATTTTTGCCTTGAAAAAGTCGGAAGACGAAACATGTCGGCAAAATCTAAGATTTTTTTCCAATTTTGATTTTATACCAAAAGACAGTAAGCTGTGGAGAACCCTAGTCATCCATGTCTTGAAGAGACATAGAACTTATACAGAGAAACTCTTTGAGTAAATGGTTAGATGAACAAGTGGCACAAAGATAAAGAAAGATCTTAGAGAAGTAAGAACTGATAATTTAACAAAAGACAGAAAGTTTTGGAGAACCATATTTACCCATGTCCTAAGGGGACAAACATATATAGCAAAAGACTATCAGATGTTATAGTGATTGAAATACAAAAATTCTTGTGAGCAGGGATCCACTTTTTTCTTCTTTTTTTTAACAGAATTTCTGAAATATATAAAAGTTTCATAGTGTCTACTATTAATGTCTAGCTTTTGTATTCTTGCTAATAATTCAATTCATGAGAATCTTAACTCTAGGTATTTGTCCAATATGCTTTGCATTACCTTTTGTCAGTATTCCTAAGCAGCATTTTTCTAGTAGGCCATTGATAAATATGCATTGGAATGAAATTCTCAGAATTCCCATCATGCATCAAAACAAATGGCGTATGGCACTCTGAGACAATGTCTGTCCCTAGCAATCAAATACATTGTCTGCTGAAAGATTTTGAACGCATCTGCTTCATTCATAATTCCTGGTTTAATTCACCTTGTAGTTATGGATAAATGATAATCATTAACTATTTTGAAATGTGCACAACAGTCATATATCATCTTCTTTTATTTGCCGTGTCTCTTCAGGACATAGGCAATCATGGCTCTCCACTTCTTCCTGTCCCTTGTAGCTCTCAATACGTTTTGTCTTTTTGTTATTTCTCCCAGACCCTGTTCTGCCATCCACTTGTTTAAGCCCGTTAATTATGTATTGTTTTTCCTTGTCCCTCCTCTATCCACCCTGTGAGTATCAGATTTTCCAAGCCCTCTTTTCTCATTACATGTCCCAGAAATTTCAGCTGCCTCTTCCTGATGTTAAGTATCTTCTTTGTTTGCATCTTCTCCAAAATCTCATCGTTGCTCACATGTTTGGTCCATGGTATCCTTAGCATCCTTCTGTAGAACCATATCTACGTTGCCTCAAATCTTTTCTTCATTTTATAGTTGTTTAATTTGTGATATCACAGGTCCACTAATGACTATATATCTCATGAAACAATAAATACTATCAATACACCTCAAAATGTATTTGTGAACAGATGAAAGAAATTGATATGTCCTGGAAGGGGATATATTTGTTCGAAGTAGCAAAGTGGTTGTTGACTATTGTAATCGAGTAGGACAATCTAGCAGGAAACCATAATGGACTGGTCCTTGTCGTAGTGGTAGGCAATAAGTGTTCCCAACCTCCACATCAGTCTGTATTTATGGCTGACACCAGCCAATCATATTACTGTGAGGGGGAACCCAGGTGTATGCATATTCATTACATAGGAAACATACAGGGTATCGCTAAAAATTGACATCATTTTGGATTATAATAACTTAGCCTATTCTCGCTCAAATCATCTCAAAATGTGTGAAAACCAAGTTGACTGTATGGACTTGCTTCAATGAGAATCTATTAGGAACATAGATCGGGTGTACCAGTGATAATGACAATGTGCTGTTGAAATGGCCACAACATTCACCGTGTGATTTTTTCTATGGGGCTGTGTGAAAGGACAGGTTTATATTCCCCATCTTCCTACAAGCCTAGAGGTATTTAAGCAGAGAATCCCTGATGTGCTGCAGAATGCTATGCAAGACATGCTACAGCATATTTGGCAGGAGCTGGACTATTGACTTGACGTGTGTTATGACACAGGTGATTTACATATTGAACATTTGTGAAGCTTTGTGAAATCACTCATAAAAAATCTACATCCTTGGAATATTTTGTCCAGATTTTGAGAAATAGATCTTTTATTGTTCAACATGAAGCCTGTTTAATTTCGTTTACCTGGGGTATGTAGTTACTCAGATATTCAAATTTTAAATGATGTCAATCTCTTTGAAGACACCCTGTATTAGAAATATAGTTACTGGTGTTTGACTTACTAAATATATGTGGGCGGTCTTGGAAGAGATATTTACCCAAACGTTTATCTTCTATGCAACATGTCCCTTTAACTTGTGAGATCATGTCTCTCCACAACTTCCTATCCTTTGTAGCTCTTGGTAAGTTTTGTCTATTCTCCATCGC